TATATTTTCTTAAGCTACTAATTCGTTTTTATCTTAAATTACTTTAACTACTTACGAAGATACCGATCTATTTCAAAGTTAAGAGTTCGAAAGCCTTATAATTAGTTTCTTTAGCTTAATACTATTAGCAATTATTAGATATTCTAATTAATATTATATTTAGAACGTTAAAGAGATTAAGACTTTTAATACTTAGTAATTATAGACCTTATAGTATTCTTAATAATAAAAGGCTAATTAAAATCTTTTACGAATCGATTAGAATAAAAAGAAAACTTCTTTTATATAGATTGGATTCGTTCAAGCAGCTAAGAAATCAATAAAAGAGCTTATAGTATACTATAAAAAGTGCGACCGAGCTTTAAAGCATCCGAAGCTAAAAGCTTTTAAAACGAAAGTATTAGCCGATCATTAAAAAACGAATGTTTGCAAACGCGTCGTAAATAGGTTAAAACAAAAGCTTTAGCAAACTCAATTAAGATTTAAATCTTTTTAACGCAATTTAATACGTTTGTTTTTATTTATAAATTCGGTTAATAAATCTAGTAAATTTGATTAGTAAATCTAATTAGTAAATCGGATTAATAAATCTGATTAGTAAATCTGATTAGTAAATCTGATTAGTAAATCTAATTAGTAAATCGGATTAGTAAATCTGATTAATAAATAATAAAATTAATATCTAATAGATATATTTATCACGAAGAACGCTTTCGCATTAAAACTTAAAATCAGCATTTCGAAAAAGTGTTTTAAATGTTATATTATTTACGCGAAGCTCGTTTCGAATAATTAATAACTCGGATTAAAAATCTTTTTGCGAATTACAAAACTTATATTTTAAGCTCTTTAGTGCTTTAATTATTAAGCGAGACCTCGACGATAAGATTCTAGAAATTAATCGTTATTTATTAAATAATTTATTAGCTAATTAAAAACTTAGCATTTCACTAGACTATTAGTCTAGCACTAAGCGCTATTCTTTTATATGCATAATCGGAACTGCAATTACAAAAGATTAGCATATAATTTAACTTATGCTTAAATTTATTGTCACCTACGGTGACCCAAGATAAATTCCAGTAGTTGTAGTGGTGGTTAGTCATCCAGTCACGTAAGACTATTCTATACGGATCTGGCAAGATTTCTGAGCGTGCCAAGACTTTTATTCTATGTCAATCTATTGAACTT